GCTGGACGTAAACAGCGTATGCTGTTCTGTGTCAGCTGCGTCACACGGATACGCTGTTTCCGTTCAGATCAAATCACAACAACGTAGGAAACAGATCCGGCGTGACGCAGCTGACACAGAACAGCATACGTTGTTTTAAGTTCAGCGGATATTCTCCAAAATGGCACCAGGGTGATGCGGAGGAGACGAATTGTTGAATAAAGTCGTTATTTTTTCCTTGCTACGTTTATGGACTTGGGAACATTTCAGTTGCGTTGCTGTCTATGCAGGGTCAGACAGCTCTCAGATTCCATCAAAAATATCTTAATTTGTGTTCCGAAGATGAACGAAGGTCTTACGGGTTTGAAACGACATGAGGGTGAGTAATTGATGACAGAATTTTCATTTTTGGGTGAACTAACCCTTTAAGCCTTGCTAAACAGCAGAGACTAAGAGTGATTTAAAAAAAAATTTTTTTTTTTTTTAAACGTGCAGATATTTTTTCCCCTTTGCTTTCATCTATTTTCGGTGCAGTTATTTTGTGTGGTTTTGGTAGACTGTTTTCCACAAACTGCTGTTAATTCAGGGCACTCTCTGAAAGTATAAATCTTGAAAGCCAAATGACACCTACTACACATCTCTCCTCAGCTCGCTTGTTTTTAATCTTTCGGCCTTGCAGATATTTCACAACTTTACAACTGCCACTCTTAATCTGCAATCTCACTTTCTTCTTCTCCTCGTTCTCCCACTCAATTACTCTTTTCCTCACTGGCTCTCCCACACACCTCGTTCGGTGGAAGACCCCCTCCCCAGACAACCTTTGAAATGCTGGCGCAGTGGCTGGTTATCCCTTATCACTTATTTGTTTCCTTTCTTATGAAAACAGAGTAGCGCTGCTGCGGGTGACCCCCTGCACCACATGAACTCAACCAGACACTTTTCCCGGAATATCCCCGGAATGGTCTGGGTGGCCTCACCTGAACCGGGCTGTTAATAAACTGAATAGACAGCGTTGCGGACAGACACTGTTCATTAAGTCAGATTAGGTTAGGTCAGATTCTACATGCAATTTACACTCAATTTCACTGTGTGTCCTAATCAGGAGTGACATGATTCTAGCAAGAAGTAATTTGTCTGTTCACAATGAAAGAGAAAGCTGCACAAGAACATGCAACCAGAACAAATTTGCTCTATAATATACAGTATAGTAATGTGCAGTGTGATTTTGATGTTTTATTTAACTCATGTTTAAAACCGTTGTTAAATGTACAATTACCATTCAAATTTTTTATGTTGTTGAATGAAGTTTCTTTTGCTCACCAAGGCTGCATTTATTGGATCAAAAATACAGTAAAATGGCAATATTGTGAAATATTATTAAAATTTTAAATATATATTTTCTATTTTAATATATTTTAAAATGTAAGTTATTCCTGTAATGACAAAAAGTCCAGTCTTAGTGTCACATGATCCTTCAGAAATCATTCTAATATGCTGATTTGATGCTCAAAAAAAATTTCTTATGAGCAATTTTTAGAGGAGTCTTTGATGAAAAGAAATTTAGAATGAACAGCATTTATTTTAAACAGAAATAATTCGTAACAGTGTAAATATCTTTACTGTCACATTTTTATCAATTACAGTGGTGTGAAAAAGTGTTGGCCCCATCCTGATTTCTTATTTTTTTGCATGTTTGTCACACTTTAATGTTTCAGATCATCAAACAAATTTAAATATTAGTCAGAGATAACACAAGTAAACACAACATGCAGTTTTTAAATGAAGGTTTTTATTATTAAGGGAAAACAAAATCCAAAACTACATGGCCCTGTGTGAATCACACCACTGTAAATGCATCCTTGCTGAATAATAGTATTAATTTTCTGAAGAAAAAAAAAAATCTTACTGACCCCAAACTTTTGAGTGGTAGTGTAACAAACAGTGCATTTAATACATAAAACAAGACATTTCTGCATTTACAAATAGCTTTTCTTCATCCATTTGTGTGTTAAACATTTCGACTCATTAGCTAAACTACATTTAAAAAAATAAAACAATAAACAGTATTTGATGTTTATCTATTTGTTGGTTTGTGAGTTATTTACATTTTTATATTTGAATGAATGCATTCAAAAATAAACAGGTGTAGATTTGTTTGAAAAATGTCAAAACAAAAATTTGTTTTTAATTGTTTTATTTACAAATTATCTGAATTATTCAGTTGATATTTGAGTTCTTCAATTATTTTGATTTTCTTTACATGTAAAGACTTTATCAGCATTATAGAGAGATGAGAGAAAAGCCATATTCATTCATTTTGCATTGCATTGTAAATTTTTTTCTAATGAGCAAATTAATAATATTGACTTCTACAGTCATGCAAAGCTGAAAGTAGCTACATGTCTAACTGCATTGTTACAGCGGCCTCATGCTGTGCCAGAAGAGTAGAGCACAAAACATTTTGACTTGCTAATGAGTGTTTGTGTGTGTTTTCGCAGACATGCCCATCTTTGGCCAATGTCCTGCCCAGGATGACTTCTACCTGGTCATGTGCAGCCTCTGTAGTCAGGTAGTCAAACCCCAGGCCTTCCAAGCACACTACGGTAAGAACATCACCTGCTCTCCAAAGCTGGCTCACTCTCTGTGTTTCTCTCTCTCTGCCGTCTTTAATGGAGGTGTTTTTGAAAAATCTTAAGACAGAAATCCCTCCCGCCCCCACCTCTGCTCTGCCTCAACTGTCATAGCATGAAGAGGGAAGAACACAAGCCTTTGATACCCACCGCCAGAGTTCTGTTTACTATCCTCAAGTTAATATTTGATGTGCTCTTTTTAGTTGGCACGTCTGTGCTGTTTTATCCAAACTAGATCATGTAAAACCTCCCGTAAGACGTCAGAAATAAAATCACTCTGATCTGCAAACCTCTGATCTGTATTTTGAGGAAAATGACTTACGAGGATTTTATTTATTTTTGAGCCATTTAAAACTTATCAGCAGGGGTTTAACACTGTAGCATTTGTTTTAGCATATGAACATTACAAATTATTCTGCCAAAATGCTCAAATTTGAGAATTTTTACAAATTTCAAGAAATTGCTGTTAATCATATGGTTGTATTGTAGGAGAGAGCTCTTAATGGAGCTGGGATCTTTTTCTTATGTACTGAAATCTGTGTTAAAAGTTTTATTCTTGAAAATGCTTGGCCCAGTCAAGGTCTTGCTTTGTTCCAGCTCTGAACATAATAATTAAGCTTGAACGAAAGTCTCCATTACCAGATGCTGAATCAATTTGTTTTTTAAGATACTGTAGTGATAGTGGCTGTTCACTTGGACTCATTATTTCAGCATTGACCACAAGGGGGAGCCAAAATGTCTTTAAATCCCAGTGGCAAATTATTTGGTGCTTTTCAGCATGCTGTAAAGTAGGGCAACAGAAAGAAAGAAAGAATGAATAAATAAATACAAAACATATCTAAAAACTTTCTAATGTGAAGTGCATATGGCTGTTTTAATTTACTAAATATGTTGTCTGCATATGCTGTGTGTTTGAAAGTGAAGGAGCCACATTTTATTCTGTTACTCGAACATGCATCTAGCTTGGTTTGCTTTGAGTCTGCAGAGCCACATCCAATGAAATGCAAAACGCCTTAGGTTTCAGTTTTATTGTTAACAACATTTTGTCTGCCATTTCAATGAGATTTTATTGCCTTTTAGATCTTTTGTGCCTAATATTGAAGTTGTAGCAATATGGGATATTCGTTTTCTATCACTGTCACAGTTCAAAACATTAAGTACAACATTTTATTTTTAGAATAATTTAAATAGTTTTAAAATGAATGAAACTTAAAAATGTAACAATTCTTTTAAAAAGTAGTTAAATTTTTCTTTTAAAATTTGTAGCATATATTCATACAATTTTTCAAAAATTTTGGGTCTTTAACATCTTCCTAATATGTGGATATTTTAGTTACTCTCAAAGCAACATGTTTGGTGTACGTAAAAGTTCATGAACCCTTAATGACACTGTGCACCTGTTGTCAGGCTATCTGGACCCAAAATGAAACTGTTATTTGATTGGAAGATTTCCTGTGGCCATAACTGAATCCAAAAACATGTCACAGGACTGAGAATTTGTGCAGATTGTGAAAGTTGCAGCACTCTCTCTCGAGAGCCAAAACATGTTGACATCAGTGTGCTTGACGCTCTGTTCAGCTTCCAGAAGATCAGTTTTTCAAAACTGCATTGATGTTTTAATATTCCACAGTATGATCTGTTTATTGCACTCAGACTGGGCCAGTTCTGCTGTTTTTTTTAAGAGATCATCATTACACAATCACACAAATGTTATGAACACTAGGACTCTTTTATTCTAGAAACTGAAAGATTAATGAGCAGATTAACTACACAGACCATGAAACTTTTAAATGCTCAAGTGCTTGACTAATAGCGTAGGGAAGAATCTAGTTCTGGCAAGTGCTTATCCAAGATGAGGATTAATAAATCATAATGAGCTGAAACAAGCTGTGGTACTAAGGAATATGTATTGCAAACTACATATGAATCTGCAGTCAGAAAGTTAAGTACAGTTTAAAAATGACTTTTAAAAGGATTGGCCTTCGTAACAATTTAAAGTCATATTTTGTATACATGTATTTAAATGTGCCATAGTTTTTAATATGTGTTTAAGATCTGCTTGTTGAACATTTGCATGTTAAACACTTTGCGGGAGACGTTTGCTCATGATTATTATGATTATCAACCCTCTACATTGCGAGTAAATCACTCGCATATGCGACTAAATCTTCACTCTGGCGACTAAATGATGTCTAACATTAGCCAATGGCTAATTAATTCTCAGATTTTACTCTATATGTGTGTGTATTTAAATCTATATTGCCATAATTTCTATTGGGTGGTTTAGATTTGCTTGTTGAACATTTGCATGTTAAACACTTTGCGGGAGACATTTGCTCAATTATTATGAATTTTATTGCCGCCTTAAATAAGAAACTAATTTGTATCCTCTTCAGTGTTCATCAGTTTGAAATGGTCTCAAAAAAATCCCCTGTGCTTGAATTGACCGACTTTCACTTTACTAAATTATGCTTTTGTGGATGTTGTTGGATTCTGCAGTCACACTGCACCCCAGTTGATTAGACCAGGATGCACAGATATACTTATAGAAAGAACTTTATTTGTAGTATTTCAAGTTTATTGATTATAGCGACAGTTAAATTTGCAGTTATAACAAGTTCATTTGCAAAGTGTAAATATTTGTGTTATAAGAATTTTATGTCATCATAAATCACCATCATTATCATCATCATCACAATGTGTACTCTCATACACAATATTAGAGCACTTAGATTAGATTGGTTGTGGCATCCGCCATTTCTCAAATGCATTTTAGAAATATATTTTTTACTTCTGCAAAATTATATCACTGACGAAAGATCTTGACTAATCGATAATAATTTTTTTGTTGTTAACTGTTTTAGAGACAAGAAGTTTTGAAGAGATGCTGGCTTCTTGATTTGTTCTCCATTTAAAAAAAAAAAAAAAAGCTCAAAATGGTACATTTCTACACTGTGCTTTTGTCCACACTGATCATCCTTCTTTTGCGCAAGGCTCTTGTTTTTACATCGGTAATTCCCTGTGGTCATTTGTCAGGTTGCCGTATTTGGTGTTCAGTTTCCTTACAATAATCCCAGATTGCTTTTCAACATGGGGCGGAATGATATTGCAGATTGTTTTGGTGTAATTAGGGCTTTGTTGATTGGGCCTTTGGTTACTCAAATTGTTGTTGGCTCACTTTCTCAGAGCAGCGCCAACAACCCAGCAAATAGCTGCAAGCATCTGTGAGAAATAAATAGGATTTCTTCCTGGTGTCCTTCTTCATTTTTTTTTTTGTGTGTGTGTGTTTTTGCTGTAGTTTTATCAGCACAGATTAGTGTGTGTGTGTGTGTGTTTGCCCCCGGTTTGCTGGAGGGATTAGTTACAAATGCTAGGCCGGAGCAGCAGGACTGTGTTGTGTGTGTGTTGTTGACAGGCAAGTATAGAGAGACCAGAGCGTTTGTTAGTGCAGCACAGCGGTTCACTCATTTGACTAAATGCACTTGCACATTTGTGTCTTGTAATTACTACTGAGAGAAAGCAAGTGTGTGTGCAACTAAAATGTTAAAAGGCAAATAAGTAAAATTATTATTATTATTTTTTTTATATGTAGTTATATTATACATCTTGAAATCTTTACAACCCACCTGCATTAAACATAAAAATGCCACTAGATGGCAATAATGTTTGACTGTTGAGAAATTGTACGTCGTTTTTTAAAATGATACCAGCTTTCAACTTTGGCAGCCTTAAAACATTAAACTAATTAATTAATTAATTTACGAGTGAATGAAAAAAAATCTGAATAAAAATGTAAAAATTATTGTACGTTTATTTACTTTTGCCATCAACATTTTGAGCATTCAAAGAGTAAAACCTTGCAAATTTCTTGCCCTTCAGAGAGAAGACACAGCTCCAGCAGCAAGCCCCCATCCAGCTATGCCGCCTCTGCTGCATTCGCAAACTCTCGAAATAAGAGCAGCCTTGGGGGTGGAGTTGGGGTCGGGGCTGTTGGTGGAAGCACTCTTGCACGCCCCTCCAGTGCAAACAGCAGCACCCCCACTAAAATCTTCAAATCAACCAAAGAGAAGCTGCCTCACTGGAAGCCTCACTTCCCCTATAGGGTGCCGCAAGAAGAGAGGTGTGTATGTGTGTTTGATGGAGTGTAAGTGAATTTCATGGATAAATGTGTTCAGATAAGCAGCCCATTCTTGCGTAATACAAAATATGTAATCTGAAACACACACCCACATTTGGTACAATATAAGACTCTTTATTTCTCTGCCTCCCAGTCCCACCCCTGCAGTTAAAGGAGAGAAGGTCCATCTGAAGGTGGAACCTTCACCCAAACTTCCCCATGTGCCCGCCTCTTCTTCCACTTCCTCCTCCTCTTCCTCCAATACTGTGAGCACCTCTCCCTTGAAGTCAGGCCTTAACTTCCCCTCCATACCAAAGGCTCCACAGCTGGCCCCAGGTCAGATCCCCAATGGAAAGGGCCACCTCTCATCCCAAGACAAGAAACAAGACAGCAGCAGTGCCAGTAGCAGGAGACCCTTGTACAAGAGACTAGGTGAATGCTAATACTCACTGCTGTTACTCTATATTTATGTTATATGTCACATAAAAAAAAATAATAATAATTTTCTTGAACTTTTTTTTAACTGTGTGTTCTGTTCTGTTATTTTCCTTAAATCAGAGCGAGAGTTTAATCCAGATATCCATTGTGGGGTTATGGATATGACAGCACGTAAGCCATGCACAAGATCCTTAACATGCAAGGTATGCCACCTTCTACACTTTGAAATATGTACACTTCAAATACACTTTGAATGCACTCTGGACATTTTGGTACTTACAAATAGGAAGTTATTATGTTATTACCAATAATCAGTATTTAAAAAATCGGTAACACTTTACAATAAGGTTCATTAGTTAACTACTTTAGCTAACATGAACTAAGAATGAACAATACTTCTACAGCATTTATTAATCTTAGTTAATGTTGATTCCAAGATTTACTAATTCATTATTAAAATCAAAAGTTGTGCTTGTTAACATTAGTTAACGCACTGTGAATTAACATGAACTAATGGTTAACAACTGTATTTCCATTAACTAACATTAACAAAGATTAATAAATACTGTAATAAATGTATCGTTCATTGTTTGTTTATGCTAGTTAATACATTAACTAACATTAACTAATGGAACCTTATTGTAAAGTGTTACCAAAAAAATCATTCAGACTAAAGCTTCAAGTGTCAGACTTTCAGTCAGATGTTTTAAATCAGACTTAAAACCTGGCAAAATGAACAAGCCTAGATGTTGTACTGCATTTAATTTAAAAAAAAATTTGAGTATTGCCCTAATAATATAACAATATAATGTTAATAATACAACAAAAATAGTAAGCTCCGATATTTTATTTTATTTTTGAATTATCGTCCTAATATAATAATATAGCATTAATACAAATATATATATATATATATATATATATATATATATACACACACACATACAACACACGTGTGTGTATAATGTGTGTATGTATGTATCTGAGTTTTTTATTTTTGTTATTTTGTAATATAGCAATATAGCATCAATAACAGCAAAAATAATGAGCTCAAATATTATATTGTATTTCGTGTATTTTTTTTTAATGTTGCTGCTGAATATCGGCATAATATAATATGGCAGTATAGCATTAATAAAATAGCAAAAATAAAAAGGCTCAGATATTACATTGTAATTAATTAATTATTTTGAATATAATAATATTGAAATATAGAATTAATAATACAGCAAAATATTCGGTTGAGATTGCATTTTATTTTTGAATTGGGTTCTAATATAATCATATACCAATGTAACATTAATTTTATACCAAAAAAAGTTCAAATATTATTCCAGATTTATTTAATTTCTAAATATCTTCTGAAACAGAATGATCTTGGCCTATATCAATATGGTCACCAGTGTATTTTTCAGACCTAGGATGTCCCTAATGTTCAAATTTCTTTGAGTATGTAAACCAATCATTTAATTGTTTGACTGAACTGTTAAATATCCCCCCATTTCACCACAGACACATTCCATAAGCCAGAGGAGGGCGGTGCTCGGGCGGCGGCAACGCTTTGACACGCTGCTTGCTGAGCACAAGAGCAAAGCACGCGACAAGGAGCTGCAGTTCAGGTTGGACCCCTCACACCCAGCACCCCCTCTCAGGGACCCTCACCCTCCCCCCTCCCGCCTCTCACAAGACCTTCACACGGTCTCCCATGGCAATGGCACTGCCGATGCCACCAAGCCTTTGCCCCTCAGCAAACCCAAACCTCATAATTCTGGGCTTCCACGGTGAGTTGCTTCCTCCTGCCCCACTATTTACTCTAAACCGGCTTCCTTTTGATTCATTAGCCAAATTTATTATAGATCTCCAGTTGTTTTTTTGTTCTTTGTTCGGGTGGTTGATAACCAATGTAAAGGTTAACGTGCTCTTCTGTATCTTCAGACTCAACAGCAGTAACTCTCACAGTGGAGGAGACCCAGCTATGGCACACGACCAGACCCACCACTCTCACTCAGCCCCTGTCGGTACCGAGACCAGCCGCCTCTCCAGTGACGAAGGGGAGAACGAGGAGAGAGAGGAGGCCACGGAGAAACTGGACTGCCATTATTCAGGTTACCACCCACGACCAGCTGCTGTAAGTACAAGAAACCTTGTGATCTTAAAGTGTTAGGGAGTTTTTTTTTTTTTTTTTTTGAAGTAGTGAATTTCTCAAACTGAAGTGCCTGCTTAGAAAGTCACTTGCATTTATTTCCAGCTTTTGAATCACTAAGCTGTTTTAAAACGAGTTTAAATGAATGTCCATGGCCTCATTTGAATCCAATTTTGTGGCCACCCTCTTTAAAGTGGGTTTCAGTTTGAGTCTGCCTTGATCTAAATGCCTGAAGAGGATGTTCAGTACCATGCACCAATGTATGATTTTTTTTTTACAAAATGAAATTTAGGACTAATTATAAATGAAAATGTGTCCTTTTATTTTTCTCAGACAGAATTCTGCACATTACTTTGTGAAATTGAAATGTATTAAATAATTAAACTAACTTGAAATGTTAACAAATCCCACATCAAATAAATAAATAATACAAACAAAAGAAGTCTCTTCATATAAAAAAAACTGAGGCTTTGCCTGTGCTCTTTCCATTTAAAACCAGAGGCAACCATTGCATTTTAATCATCATCTATATTGTGTCTCTCACCAGTACTGCACTTTTGGAAGTCGATTGTACGGTAGAGGTTGTTACGCGTTCGACCGGCGCTGGGATCAAGTACGTTGTACTCTCACCACCATGTTGGACAAACATGTCAACTCACAAATGTGGAAGTAAGTGTGTGTGAGACCCTTCCCACAATCAGCTGTTTTTCCATTAAACAGAATCCTAATTGTGATTTCTTGCATTTACTTTGTAGGAAAATCCCTCTGGCGTTGGAGAACTCTGCAACAACACTCACAGCCTCTCACCGGACAAGCACAAACTCCCATTCTTCCTCATCCTGCTCCATTTCTGCAGGGTTTCTCAGCCTGTCCTCACCACCGCCTTATGACAGCAAGCCGGTCCTGTCATATGGCACCACCCTGAATGCCCGCTCTTCTCCGCAAGCCTCCGCCACCGAGCAGCCCGCCTACAGTGGCGCTTCTAGACAAGTGTCAGCCTCATCACCCCAGATGCCTTCAGCCCACTCGTCCTCGCTACCCTCGTTGGGCTCCAACCGACCCCTCAAATCCCGATCTGTTACAAAATCCTTTAAGGCTCGGGAGCCATCCTTCAGCCTAAGTAACTCTATCGTCAGGGGCAGTACTAACAGCAGTGTTAGCGTCAGCGGTTGTGCGAGCGGTAGCCTGAGTTCGGGCAAGAAGCGGAAAAACAGTTCCCTGTTTACCACCCATAGCACTTACACCTCTGAATCCTCCTCCTCCTCATCTTTTAAGAAGAACTGCGGGATAAACTCCTCCAGTCTTGGCAGCGCCTACCACACCTCGCTCGCCTCCACCCCTTCTTCATCTTCATCGTCAACAACGCTGTCGTCATCCCACAGCGGGGTGTACTGTGTGGGGGTAAACTGCACCCCAGGCAGGGCCAACTCTTTGAGCTTGAAGCAGGAGTCGACAGGACGTGGCCCTCCCTCAGGCAGCCCGGCTGAGTCCATTAAACGCATGAGTGTGGTGATGAACAGCAGCGACTCCACCCTCTCCCTCGGGCCATTTGTTCACCAGAGCAGCGATCATCACGCAGATGCACGTCTGGAAGCCAAAAGGAGGAAGTGCTCACCTGGCTCAAGTAGCCTCAACAGCACAGGTGTATAATCCTAGTGTTTGGTTTTATTTATTTATTTATTTATTTTTATCCAGATTCCTGTTTCATTTTGGTTTTGATTTAGATTTGGTTTCATTTTAGTTAATTTCAGATTTCATTTGGTTTCTGTTTAATTTTGTTTTAATTTTAATTAGGGCTGGACGATATGGCCAAAATTGATATCGCGATATATTTCTTAATTTCGGTCGATACGATATAATTCCGATATCGATATGAACACTATTTATCTGAAATAGAAATCTTTTGTAACATTATAAATGCCTTTATCATCACTTTTGATCAATTTTATCCAGTTTCTGTTTCATCCTATTTTGGTTTCAGTCCAGTTTGTTTAATTTCAGTTTAGTTGTAATCGAGAATCTAATGTCACTTTGGTATCAATTCAGGTTCTGTTTCATATCAGTTTTAGTTTTAATTTGGTTTGTTTAATTTCATTGTAGTATTAAATGCAGTTTCTATTTCATTTCAATTTTTTTTTAATTTGGTTTAGATTTTTAAATTTTGCATTATTTTGAGTTTAACTTTGATCAAGTTAGCATTTAATTTTAGTTTAGTTTTAATCCAGATTTTATGTCTAATCTTATTTTAGTATTCAGTTTGTTTCATTCCAGTTAATTTGGTTTCTATTTTATTTTAGTTTAGTTTTGATCCAGTTTCTGTTTTGCTTTATTATTAAGATGATTTCAGATTCAAATGAGTTTCTTTGATCCAGTTTCTGTTTAGTTTTAATCCAGGCTGTCAAATACCTTTTTTAGTATTTATCCATTCTCTATTTAATTTCAGTTAATTTAATTTGCTTTGTTTAGATCTAGTTTATTTTGATCTAGTTTCTATTTAATCTCATTTTGGTTTCAGTCCTTTTTTCATTCTGTCTAATAGTAATTTAGTCTAGTTTCCATTTCTATTCTATTTCAGTTTAGTTTTAATTTGGTTTCTGATTAATTTTAATTTAGTTTTGATCCAGTTTATATTTCACTTCATTGTAGTGTTAATCCAGTTTCTATATTATTTCAGTTTTACTTTGATCCGGTTACGTTTTCATTTCAGGTTAAATAAAATGTTGCAATTGTTTCATTTCAGTTTAGTTCTAATCAAGTTTTTTGTTAAATTGCACTTTGCCGCTCTTCAAAGTTTACTTCAAAACTGAACAGAGATCATACAGAACTGTCAGGCTGACTAATCTCTTTTTTTCTGTATTCACATCGTTATAGAAAGTCCTGAAACGCTAGAAACCCAATTTAATTAGTAAACTTGAAATAATTATTATATGCTGTTTGCTTGATTATAAAAAGGGCTGTCTCTTATTTTAACTTTGTAATGATTTTGACAGCGTCTGGAGCAGGAGGGGGAGGAGGACAAGGTCCTGGCAGGCCCAAAATATCCAAGTCTCCATCAATCAACAACATCCACAGCAAGCATGCTCGCTCTATACCTGGACCACCAGGGCTCCCTAACAATTCACTCATACATCAGGTTAGTAACAGCATCTGATTCCTTCCTTTAGTTTAGAATGTAATATTGTCTCTTTCCTCTTACACATTACATTTCTGTACTTGTGTGTGTGTGTTTCCCACAGCCAAAGGCTCGTCCCTGACACAGGTGTGGAGGCTCTGAGCGTGCTGAGCAGTAGGCTGGACCCAGAGCTCCCTCAGCCCCCTCATGCCACTCTGCACGAGGCCTTCTTTTTCTCTTACTCTTCCCACAATCCTCAGGGTGGAATGCATACTGGGTGGCCCATTGATGTCCTTCGTGGGGATTTCCTCCCAAAGCCATGCAGGGGCACTCTCCGGGGATAGGATAATAAGCCAGAGAGATATAGTTCTCCTGTCGGAAGTTATAATGAATCTATACAATGCACCATTGGGTACAAAGCCTGCTGCGTAGAGCATGAGCTGCCCAGCCTGAGTACTTGTGCTGGGGCCGGAAGGTATAGATTTTGGCTGGTGCGTAGCCTCACCAACACTACCAAGCATAGGAGGGATGTGAGATGCGAACAAGATAAGTTGCTTTACCGATGTTCTTCGGTATGTTAGCTTGAGCGTGTGGACATACCAGAATACTGGAAACCGAAATCCTACTCCGCCTTGGAGGAAGTGTACAGGAGAGGAACATCCCTAAAGTAGACACACAATCAACTTAAGTTAATCATACACATGATCTCTCACTGGAAGGCTGTATTAGATTAAACTACACTCACTGCAGATAGACATGACTGGAGTGGAGTTTCAACATGAGCAACCTAAACTTAAAGATTATGCAAACTAAACAGTTTTTAGACCACATTTTGTTTACAGGTTAGCAAACAGAACATATACCATTTTCCTTTACCATTTACCAACTTAAAACTTTAGTTATTTATTTAGTTAATTCCGGCTGTTTTATTGCAATTTCTTTTTTACTGAAAAATCCAACCCTAAATCAAGCTCGAACACCTTGCGTTAGTGAAAGCACTTGATTCCCCCCCACCATGTTTATTTTGAATAATTTCAGGTTTGTGTTAGTATACTAGCATGTCTTTACTGTATCTCTGAGCAACAGTCATCTCTAAACGGTCAGCTCCAAAAAAACTCGACAATACTGTAATCCTCTTAAAAACCATAACTTGGACAATACAGATATTCAGTTTTAGGTACATTAAAGGCTTGATTCATTAAACCTTTTAGCACATGCAAAAATTGCTCCAGCAGGTGACGTTTCACCTCTTACAATTACCCATGAAGAAGCATGTGCTGAAATTTTAATGTACTAAAATCTGCAGTCTCGTTCGAAAATGATTGTAGGAGAGTTTCCTGGTGAAGATGCCTTAGGTGTGGTATCGTTATGTGCCGTTTCAGTCTCAGAAAGGGGCTCGTGGCTAGCTGATGTTGAGCCATAGACCAACATTACAGACACACTATCATCTCAGCAATGGAGTAGACATCTACACGACACTCAATACTGTGAGACACATATACAGTAGTCTGGCCAGTGCCATCTCATCAAGTGACCAACCCTAAAGAGGTTAGTAGCTGGACATTCTGATTTAAATCTCGTTTTTATTGTGGGTCTGTCGACTTCAAGGCAATAGATCCTTTTTTGACTCGTTGATCTTCATAAGAGATGTTGAGCTGGATTTTGTTGTGCAAGTTGGGGCTTCTCTTTAAAACTCCCGTAAATTCCTGAACTCCACTGATGTCAGTCAGCAATGGTCGCTGAGAAGTAGAGCATGATTTTGTTTGTGTATTTTTTTCCTTCTGCTTTTTCGTACACAAAACCGAATACAAATATTGAATTATCCCTATTTCAGAATACATATTTTGTTAAAGAATTGTACATATGGAGATGTATTTTTGCACAGGCATTTTCGTAAACGATTTTTGGTACAATTGAGATCATTATTATTTATTTAGAAAATGGAAACATTCTAAGATTATTAGAAGTGGTTCACTGCCAAGCCGATAATGCAATACGCCACTCTATCCGAACACAGCTTCTTGTTAGTCACACACCGAGTTCCCCCGGACAGATTGTTGCCACAGTAGTGGGGAATCATTATGTATTATTATTTAGGTGTCAGTAGTGCTCCTTTTCCCTCATGATTCCTCCCCATCTCAAACCAAGAGGTCAGAGAATGTGATCAAAATGGCCCGTTTAACTGTGCAAAAGATTTCTGGCTGACTGATGTATTTTGTAGGACTTTTCTAACTTGGAGAGGGAACAAAACAGTTGTACAGTGCAAAATGTGCACCACTGTTGCCAAATGTTGTAATTGGATACACTGCTTTTTAATTACTTGTTAATTTGCTTTTAACGCTGACAAAAAAAAAGAAAAAAGAGAAAGTGCCTGAATTAGTTTCTCATCAACTGTTGTTATGGCAGAGCTTTTTATTTCATGTATTTTTTTTTTTCACAGTACTTGAATGTTATATAAGGGTTTAGAAACGTTTTAAACCTGCCTAGCAATCTCACACATCGCCCTTTTCCCCTTCAAGTAGAGCGGTAACTCCGATTGATGAAATGCATGGCAGAGGAGTAACACTTACTTGACAATGACATGAGAAAGCTTTCTGTCTGTCCCTTGCATTCTTTTATGACTACTTTTGATATTAGAAATTTTCAAAGCGAGAGGGATAGATATTTTGGTGGCTAAGTCGGTGATTTCAACCAATGTTTTAGGCAGATAAATGTACTGTTTACCTTGAAATTGTAACTCCACTGTTTTCAGATAATGAAAGCTTTGTGAAGATGTTTGATTAAACACCACAGATTTGGAATGTGAATCGAAGATAAAAACAAGTTTGCTTTTTGGGGAAGAAGCCTCTACATATAAACTTATGTACAAGTGTGTATATTTTGATTTTTCTTTTCCTTTGTCTTTTTTGTATACATATTCAAAAATCATTTGATCAGCTGGACTTTTGTGTGTTGGCTGCTATGTAATTCATGAACAAACACAGTAGGGTAGATTTACTTAATATTTAAAGAAAAGATTGTATAGTATATTTGTTTTGTAACACGTTTCTGTAAATATAAAAAAAATAATTTATACAGTTATTTATAAGAAAAATGTGTCAGACTCATTTTTTCCCATTCGCTCACACACCAAAGACAAGCTCAAACGTTTCCTCCAATTCAGTTTTATTATATACTGTACATAAAACAAAAGTCAGGTTGTTCACATGAAAAGACATGGGTAGCGATCAAATGCCATATGTTGGACTACATGTTGATCACTCTGGACAGCTTCTGCACTCTGTTCAGCAGAAGATCGCCCTTCTTTATGGTTTCCTGGTACTGCCAGTTCTTACTATCAGGTCTGGGGGCGGGGAAAAGACAAGAAATACACAGTTAGCTTACAGATCCAACAGAGATTTAAACCAATACACACAAATATTAAGGTCTTCACCTGTTGGTTTCCACAATCTCATTAACTTTGTCGATCTTGCAATGTAAACGTCCTGCGGCGATGAATCGCGACAGCTCCCTTGGGGAAGAAAAAAGACCAAAGTAAGCCTAGAAATATTGTATGTTTACATAGTTGTTTATATGAATGTGGGAGCGTACTGGTCGATGAACTCTGTGCTGACTCCAAACGCTTCGGCCATGTATCCCAGCGTGAGGGAGCGGTAGGATTCCAGCAGCTGGCCATAGGCCAGGATGCGCATCTCTCGGACATAGTAACGGTAATGAGGAGCAAACAACCAGTCTTGCTTCATCTCCTGTTCCACTCGAGCTACAGAGGAGAAACAGGTGGAACATCTGACCAACACATTTTTAAACAATAACAGAAGAGCAGAGTTGGAGAAGCACTTTCAATAAACACTGCAAAAAATAACAACATAGCTTACAACATTAATCTTTAAAACAGAGCGTGGCTAGTTAAGCAATAACATTTTCCTCAATTGTTCTTTAAAGGTTTATACTATGAGCTACTAGCATGCTCACCAATATTTTACCTACCCAATGATTGAAAGAATACGGAATAACGGCACTCGTAGAGAGAGAAGAGGTACTGACGGACAGCAGGTAAACTGTGCAACACCTCCAAGATCTCAGCACCCTTAATCACCTGAGAAAACCCATTATTTCTTGTGTTAGCTTGGTTATTTCTATTAGATTGAATTGTATCTATATTTTTGGCCATATAACATGTATAGGAAGTCCTTTCCAAGCAGGCAACTTTTCTGAATTGCACACTTGCAATAATCACAACAACTTGAATCTCTTATGTGAAGATAAAGCTCTTTGTGTTGCTCTGGATAAGTGTGTCTGCGAAATGCATCAAATATAAATTAATAAATGTGATTCCATAAAGCAGGTTTATTAAATTCAATAAAGGTAACTTTTTAGACAGTTTCCTATTTCATTCTGCTTTCTAACGACTGGTCTTAAATCATTTAATTATATTGATCGCTATAATTTTTTAACATTAAGAAATTAAATTAAAAATTTGGAAGGCTGAAAGTTTGTAAGATTTTTATTTTTATTTATTTTTTTAATAAGTCTTTTATGCTCACTAAGGCTGTGTTTTTTTAAATAAAAAAAATACAGCAAAAACAGTAATACTGGGAAAAATTACTACAATTTAAAATACAATTTTTATCTCAATATATTTAAAATGTTTAATTTATTCCTTTGATGGCAAAGCTGAATTTTCAGCATCATTACTCCAGTCTTCAATGTCAGATGATCCTTCAGAATTCATTCTAATATGCTGATCTTGTGCTCAAGAAACATTTACTATTGTCGATGTTGAAATCAGTTCTTGCTTAATATTTTGTGCAAAACGGATTAGGATTAAAGGATTCTTTTAGGATTTTTAGGATGAATAGAAAGTACAAAATAACAGCATTTATTTGAAATTGAAATATTTTGTAACATTATCTTTACTGTCACTTTTAATACATTTTATGCTTCCTTACTAAATACTAGGGCTGTCAAAAAAAAATTCGAATTTCGAAAAAAAAAAAAAAATTCACATTCGAATGCAAAAACATTGCATTCGAATTTAAGGTCTGGTCAGCCGTCAGGCAGCCTTATCAGTGGCGCACGAAATGCGACGACAATGTAAGCGTCATTGCATTTAATGCTTTTGTTAGCCTACCCAGTTGAACCCACTAGATGCGGCGCTGCTACGTTGTTCATTCATATATTGCGGAAAACGAGAGCATCAGTGTGGCGAAGATGTTGTTTACGTCAAAACTGAAACCAAGCCACAGACACAGAACGCATATTTATCACATTTTCTAGAGGGACATCTATCACCGTTGCACTCGTGTCTCGCAGAGAGCGGCATGTTTAGAAAGCCATGTAAAATTAATGCAAGTTCAACTTTTAAAAAACATGTCTAAAGACGTTATGGCGGTTTTCCCCATCCCACTGTATCTCATGTTTTTAAACGAAGAAAGTACCATTTGTGATTGGTTTTCGGTCCTTTGTATTAAACTGTACATACATGCATGGTGCTGTTTTTTTTCTTCTAAGTGTTTAAGTAACTTTATTAATTATATATGGTTTAGAAACATTATTTTAAACATTATGCACTTTTTTTCAAAGATAGTCGTGTTATTTTATTACGCTTTGAAGAAACGTGCATAATATTTTGCTCGATGCGCCCTCTTGTGGCCTCAGGAGAGAAGCCAAAAGCTTTTTTCCCCCTAACTGAAATTATGCCTTTTAAATT